ATTTAAGTAAAATGTACACAGATAATTCAGTGTTGCAAATTGAAAAAGGGAGTGCCATTTACCTATCACTCTACAGACCCAAAAATCAAAAACGATTTTTAGGTAAAAATCTACCCTGGGGCTTAATTGCTATCTTACAGAAATGTTACTGAACTCAAGAGGTTTGCCACTTGGGATGTTCTTATTCAAGAACAAGACACGGTTGCCATTAGTTTTATTCTGGCAGCAAGTAAGACTCACATCCAAAGCTCTGCCTTCCCAAAGGGAGGCTTAGCCATTGCTTGTGTACACTGTTTGGTTGATTGCCTGTCAATTTCTTCTTTGCAGTTGGCTAAACTTATCTAGTTATGGTTTTGGTCAAGCTCATCCCATTGCAGCTGCAGCTGCAAAATACTGTGCATTTTTTTAACATATAGCAAGAATAGCATTAAGAACCCCCATGACCTTGAGACCCTTGTCCTGTGTAACAGAAAACTGATGCCTAACTTCTGGCCCTTAGTAGCTATCACAGAAGAAATCCAAATCAAGTTAGTACAACCTATCTGAACTCTCATGCACCAAATTAATGTATGCTTGTTGGTTTCTTCCTCTCACTTGTGGCCTGCTGTGGATCTTATAGAGTACCAACTCTTGGCCACATGAAGCTAAGTAACTCTTCCATAATAACAACCAGGTTTTAGAACAAGTCTAAGTGACGTCAGAGAGGAGGTGGATGAAGAACAAATAGAGGGTTTGTTCCTAAGCATACCAGGAAGTATTAGAGAGCTCAATACCAGGACACATCCCTATACCTGGGACTGGAACGGTCCCCCACATCTAGACTTGGTTCAGCTGCAGCCGCCAGAATCTTGCTTGACCTGTATCTGTTTTCACCTGGAAATCCCAATCAGAATGCCCATGTGTAAGTTTCCTTTGTCAGCCTTGACCAGAAAACATCTGCATCCCGATTGCTAACCTGAGTGACACTTAACGGCTGAAGAGAGAATAGATGACTCATCAATAGGAGTCAGTCCATTGTAACAATTGCTAAGATTTTTCGAAGCCATGAAGCTCTATGGTCGAGGCCAAGTGACTGACTGTATGACTAAACTTCCCCATGGAGCACTATTTGAGCCAGAGAAAATACGTTAGCTTTTTGTGTGTGTGTTTTTTTTGTCCTTTCCCCAATGGATAATATTCCTGCTATCTTTTCCCCTCGTGATTCCTACAGAACCACTTCATATACTGCTTTTCACCTTTTTTAATGTGTTATGGTCATTTGTAGTCCAGTGTCTATCTCTGAGTCACAGTGTGACACGGTGCAATGAATTTAACCCCAGAGTCTATGCCAGCGTGGGCAAACTACGGCCCGCGGGCCGGATCCGGCCCCTTTGAAATGAATAAAACTAAAAAAAAAAACAAGACCGTACCCTTTTGTGTAATGATGTTTACTTTGAATTTATATTAGTTCACACAAACACTCCATCCATGCTTTTGTTCCGGCCCTCCGGTCCAGTTTAAGAACCCATTGTGGCCCTCGAGTCAAAAAGTTTGCCCACCCCTGGTCTATGCACACTCATGTAGACCTGTGTCTGTGAGCGCTCTGGAGACCAGTGGCCGGGAGCGTTCTCTGTGTAAACCCATGTCCTACGAAAGCCAGGACGAACCTCTGCCCAAATATGCGTGTAGTCCAAAATGTACCCAACAGTGTGCGTGCTCAGAGGTACCTGTACCCAGCACAAATCTGTTTCGTTTACAAGTGTGTTCTGTTTTAATGCTTTTGATCTCGACATTTTTTTTCTGTTGAATATTGGATTTTACTAGAGGAATAGAAGTGTAATAGGTTGTCCCCCTTTCTAAGTGTCCATTGCACAGTGGTCATGGTTATAGCCACAACTAGACAGGGTTGAGTTTGACAGATCTCTGATTGCCAATGTATACGGGAGCACTTTTAGTTTATTTTTTCCTCATCTTAAACATTTACTACTCTACTTGGAAGTCGTGTGATTAGCTGTTGTTCCGATGCTGTTTTTGCTCTGCCCTGCTCTCATTTTAACAATGTTTTTCAGGGTAAATGAGTTACAAGTAAATGTATCTTAATAGAATGTTCCTCTTATTGCTTTCTTTGCTAGATAAATAAAATTTAAAATCTTTTTATTCTCTTATGTAAAAATTTTATAGAAAATCTCATGTTCTCTTAAAACAGAAAAATGAGTATATAAGTGCATCAGACATAATTTTCTTTTCAGAAAGTAAAAATAGCATATTTACATTTCATACAACTCTGATAACTATTTCACAGCAATCTGTATGATTTGATGCATTAGTGTAGTTCAAGCTTATTGTTACCATTCATATCCTTTTTGCGTTTTGTAATGAAATTATCTCCTATATAACATTTCCCCCAATTCCTCTGAAAGTGAACGTATTTATGAAACTGTGGCTTAGCAACAAAAAGAGAAGGGAAATGATGCTTTTCTTCAAGGGAGCAATGGCGTGTAGTTTACTAGGAAGAGCTCTGGACTGGGATAAGGAAACATGGGCGCTGCTTCCACTTCTGCTGTGATATAAGTGTTTGTTAGATGAACAGATTGATGAATAAACAACCTCTTTTTGGGCCTCCGTTTCCCAGTGATAACTCCTAGGCCCTGGAGTAGATTATCTCTGTCTCCTAGTAGCTCTAGAATTCCCCTGTTCCATGTCAGCAGTGTCTCCCTTCTTACTGGCCTCTTTGCTATGAAATTGTCATCTGTTGTTACAGTGGAATGTATTGTGTGTGCGTGTTAGCATAGGGATACGTTGCCTGTTTTTTTTGTTTTGTTTTTTTTTTTTTTATTGTTAATCTGTCTCCCTCTGCTTGGGAACATTCCTTACCTTATTACACAGGAAGTCAGTGATGGGGGTGGAAGTGGGGTCTTGGTTTTTATACCTTTTCTAATTCTCTAACATGTGAAATTAGTTGACCTGAATTATGTTGGTTCAAACCTGAAACAAGATTTTCAGACATTTTCAATCTGCCCCAAACTCAATTCTTAATGTAATGGGCTATGTATTCCGTAGATTAATTTGTGTGCAGGAAATGTTCCTTTCATGTTTTAAAGCCATGCCACACAATTAAATTCGTGCCTGGTGGACAGTCCCCATGCTCTATTTATTCTGTGTGAATCGTTCATTCCTGTAAACAGGAAAAGTTCTCAAGGAAGTAGCTCAACTTGAATGAGAGGGAGCTAGGTTGAGAAAAAGATGGAGAGAACCCATGAGGATCCCAGTTTACCTTGAATGAGTGTTTCTGGTGTAGAATTGTTATAGTTTTAAATCAATTGCCAGAATATCAGATATATTCAAATTAAAATGATTTAATGGATTATTATACAGACTCATTAAAATGATATCTATGAAGAATTTTTAATGACACGGCAAGTGGTGCGTAATATAGTAACTGAGGAAACCAAGAAAAGAAAATTTGCATTATAGTATATCTCAATTAAGGAAAATACACACACTAACTGCAGTTTTCTCTAAATGGTGAAATTGTTTTATAATGACTTTCCCCCTGTATATTTACTTTAAAAAACAACAACTCGGCTAATAATTTTTTTAATCTAAAATACAGATCATGTTGTATGCCTGTGCTTTGTATTATTGCAAGTTTGCCTTTTCCCATACCCCCCCCCCCCCCTCGTGGAGGAATGGCTCCATAGGAGGAACAATGTGGGAAGAGGCGACTTGCCCACATGGCTGAGCCGTCGCAGAGGCCGTGGCTCAGTTACGAGGCTGCGGACTCAGTAGCATCGGCAATGGGAAAGAGGGTCTTACACATCACCAGGGCCAGCAAGTGCTGGACAGAGAGATCCGCAAACACTTTACTTATGTGCTAGGCACAAACCACACACTGGAGATCTTAGGAGAATAGGCTATACCTCAGAGGCAAGTGGATGGGTAGTTTTAGGGGAGACACGCAGATCTTACTAGTAGGTGTGGTGAAAAGCTCTGTTACAAGGGGTGACACCCATAAGGGTGGAGTGGTCAACCTGGTGGTGGGGACTGGGGAGGGCAGAGGTTATGCTTTAGTCTCGAGGTGCTCGAGAGGATGGAGGCCGAGTTGCGTAAGGAATGGCACAAATAGCAGTCCTTCAGCATGAAGCTAACTGGCGGTGCTGGGAATTAGGACTGTTTTCGTAAGAGTGGGTATGGAATATAAAAGAGGTCAAGGGCAGATGTGGCAAGGAAAGTGGCAGGAGCATAAGCATGGCTGGCTGTCTTTGCATGGCTGCCTCTCCCCTGAAAATGAGAAGAAGCTACTGAAGAGGTTGATAAGCTGTGGCTTGACATGAGATTTGCATTTTAGAAGATGACTCTGGTGGTGTTAAGGGGAAGGGGTCGTGAGATGGGAGGCCCCAGTGAAAACTATTATAGTGGCCTGAGCCAGGGTGAAGCTGGCCTGAGCTGGGACAGTGACAGTGGAATGCAGAGGAGAGGGTGGATTTGAGAGAGACAGACACAGCTTTAACAGGCCCAGTAGCCTGTTGGATGTGTAGTGTGAGGGGGGCAGCCAGGCGGAGTTCTAGGATTCTGGTGCTTGACAGAGGCATCATAGGAGTGAGGATTAAAGGAGGAGGTGATGGGAAATAATGAGTTTCCATGTGGGATATGAAGTTAAGACTTCCTTCTTTCCTTCCCTTCTGTCTCTTTCTGCCTTTCCATAGCAACACTGGTGTCACAGTTCCTCCCTCCCTCCTTTCCTCCCTTCCTTTCCATTCATTCATTCAGTTATTAAGCCCTCACTGTCCATGGGGCACCATCCCAATCACGGTCCCAGGGCCATTGTGAGCCAGGCTACTTTCCATGTATCCTGAACCATGAGCAGGAAAGAAGTTATTGTACAGCCACAGCCACTGGGTGTCTCTGACCAGGACACAGCTAGCCAGCTTAGGACACTAACTGATTAACTTCTTTCAAACGCCATTGCGTAATATATGTTTTTATATTGGAAACACCACTAACGGCCATTGTCTTTCTAGGTAGTGCCTTTATTTCTGCTATGTTTCTGAAAGAAAATTTGAGAGCCTCCGATGTACTAGGTAAGTAATTCTTCAATTCCTGTCATTACAGCACTGCTTGATCAGGAAGTAAATAATGCTACCCATAAAAGATATGTGCTTTGGAAACTGGGAACAAATTACTGAAATGATATCATCTTGGAGGTGCCGTTTACTCTTCCATGGGAAATACTTCCATCTTCATTGCACCCACTCCCCATACGATTGACCACAGCAAATTATTATTTTATAGTATTGTGATTATGAATTTTATGAAATTTTTACGAGCATAATAAAATCCAGTAAATTTTATTTCAAAGGATGTATTTTGTTAGACTGTCCTATGAAAGTATACATGAAAAAGGAAAAAACACACCCTGGCCAGTGTTAAGTGGTTAGAGTGTTGGCCCTCGGACCAGGAGGGTCACAAATTCCATTCCTGGTCAAGGGCACGTACCTGGGTTGAAAGTTCGATCCCTGGCCCTGGGCAGACCATGTGCGGGAGGCAACCCATCCACGTGTCTCTCTCACATCAACGTTTCTCTCTCTCCCCCCCCCTCCCCTCCCTCCTTTCCTTCCACTCTCTCTAAAAATCAATGGAAAAAATATCCTTGGGTGAGGATTAACAAAACAAAACAAAAGAAAACCACACACACAAATTAGATGTACCAGTAGCTACCTGGTTTGCAGTTAGCTCTCTCCCAACATAACACGGAACATTGCTCTTTTATAAAATGTTATTGGGAAATACAGCTGTTGGTGGGAAATGACAGTAGCCTGCCTGGCTGTAAGACAGATTCGTTACTAGCAAAGCCATCCGCTATTGATTCTATCTTCCACCTCTTGTTGGAAATACCATTGGTGAAAAGACTTTGGAGATTCCCGTTTTCTTCCTTGACAAACTCCTGTCTGAATTGCTGCTGACGTGTGATAATGAATATGATCCTTTAGGTGCTTGAAATAAAGCAATGTCCACTCGCTTCCGAGGAGATCACGTTTGCTCTTAGAGTGTGAGCGTTAGCCCGGACACCAGCGTCGCTACGTTGAGCCTTTGTTGTCTCTGATCATGTTTCCCGGGAGCCAGTGTTGGGACAGCGCTGGCACTGTTTCTCTTCCTCCTTCCTTGGATTCTGCTACTAGAGTTTGTAGTCAAGATTGTCACATTTTTCATGGTTAAAGTGTTTTCCCAAATGCTATTCATACGTGAACTGCATCTTGTCACCTATATTCTTTTTCTATATTTTTTAAATATATGATGGTTTGTGCAATCATTTGGGGGAGTTGTCTGGAATCAGAAGTAAGAAGGAGCCATGCCCGCGTCTTATAAGTTAAAAACCTTAGGTCCTACATCATCTTTCTTAGTTATGTAATGTCTTCAGGAAACTTTAAATTGTTTTACCTAAAATATGCCATTGTTTGTCATTAGTGGTCAATTAATGTTTAAATTAATCTAAGATATTTGATGAAGCGATACAGACGGATGTAAAGGGGGACTTGCCTAATTATCATGAACATTCGTGGTAAAAAGATGACTAATTAAGACAGAATCTCTGCCCTCAAACAATACAGTTGAATGTTTTTTAAAAGCAGGAAATAATATGTATCATTAAGGCCTTACGCTTTAGTTTAGAACAGGGTTTCTCAACCTCAGCACTGCTGATGTTTTAGGCTGGATACTCCCTCTTCGTAGGGGGCTGTCTTGTGCCTCGTAGGGTATGTAGCAGCATCCCTACTGGCCTTTAAACAGTAGATGCCCGTACACCCTCTGCACCAGTTATGACAACCAAAAATGACTTCAAACATTGCCAAATGTTCCCGGGCCGGGGGAGAGGGGAGTAAAATCGCCCCCCAGTTGAGAACCGCTGGTTTAGAGTAAAGAGAGATTACTCTAACTGGGAAGCTCAGAGAGAACTTTTGACAGCAGAGGTAACATTTGAATCCTCTCTGATGGCTGGATAGGACAGGCAGGGGCCACATCCAAGCATTGGGAGGTGGGCATACAGAGGGAACAACACGAGAAGTGTTAACAAAGGTGCAAAAGGGTAAGTCTCTGTTCAATACTGCACTACAGCCACTGCCTGTAAGGTTTAGGGAAAGAATAAATGCTCGTCATAAACTGTGAAAGGGAAGAATATCAGCATCAATCGGTGCAGGTGGTTTGATCATAGACTTAGAAAACCCAAAATCAACTAAGCATTACTAACAGCAATTAGCTGGCTCAACATCAAAGGATATGAATTGAACTCACTCTCGTGGGTTCAGATCTGGATTCAGCTTCTGCTGTCAGCTGTGTGGCCAGCATATGACTTCACTTCTCTAAGCCTGTTGGCTGACAAGTATTAGAGACTGTTTTAAGGATCAAATTGGGTCATTCACTTAAGCACTTTGAAAAATGTAAAGCCCTGTTCATTGTCATCATATGTGTAGCCAACTTTATGCCCAAGAGGTAATTCTCTCTCCCTCTCTCTCTCTCTCTCTCTCTCTCTCTCTCTCTCTCTCTCTCACCAAACCACGTAAAACTTATATTAGTTATTTAATTCTTCACTAATTTCTCTTATTTTAATAACAGAACACTTTATTAAATATTTATTCTTTTCTGGTATCATAACTGTTCTAAATGAGCTATCTCATTTGAATGCAGGAACCAACCCATTTACAGAATGGGTACTTAGGTTGGATAACTTGCCCAAGGTCATATAACTAGCAAGTGGGGAGCCAGAGTGCCCCTACTGGCAGTGTGTCTCCCATGTCAGAAAGCTGTGTGACCTTTGCAAAGTGACTTCCTCTCTTGAAGTCTCAATTTTCTCATCTTTAAAATGAAGATAACATTACCTACCTCAGAGGGTTAAATTAGTTCATGTGTGTAAAACTCTTAGCATGGGGCCTAGCACATCATCATCATCCTGACTCCTACTACCACCCTAGCCACCACTGCACTCCACTGCACTCCACTGCCTCAGCAGAGGACACCCAGAGGAGGGTATCTTTGCACACGATAGCAATCCAGGTTTCATTTCCTGTGGCTCTGGTTGGGATTCTTTTTTTGCCTTCCTAACTTGATGCTTTTTTAGTAGGGCTATATCACCGATAGCACCTTTGTGGCATACTCTAGTTAAAACTGGTCAATTCTCTCTCTCTCTCTCTCTCTCTCTCTCTCTCTCTCTCTCTTTTTCTCAAAGAGGAAGGGAGAAAGAGAGAGAGAGAGAAACATCAATGATGAAAGAGAATCATTGATCAGCTGCCTCCTGCACATGCTCTACTGGGGACTGAGCCCGCATGTGCCCCAACCAGAATCGAACTGTAACCTCCTGGTTCATAGGTCGACGCTCAACCACTGAGCCATGCCAGCCAGGCAAAACTGGTTAATTCTTAACTTCAGTCTAGTATCATAAGAATGAGGAAGGATGTAGTCACCAATTCCATACCCACGTCTCCAACAGCGGCATCGTGAGATTATCGTGATCTGAAGTGCCATCACCCACCTCATGCTTAGGAAGAGATTTTTCCTCAGCCTCACTATTGGTGATATAGCCCTACATGTGTTGTCACGTGTCTTTTCTTTTGTCCTGTATTGCTGTTGCCTTGAGCAAATTTGGCTCTTTCTGATAGAAGCTAAAAATGCATTTTTTTTTCCTTTACACAGACTAAAACCAAACAAGGAAAAGAATAGTGACATTAAAAAAAAAAGATTAACATATAAGCATGCTAAAAATTAAATTGTCAAAATGTGCAAAAGAAAATCACTTATTTTTCCCTGCTTGAAGCAAATGGCAGTTTGTTTTGCAGGATGGAACAAATGAAGATTTTTGGACCATGTGGGAACAAGCTGAACTAATTTATTGCCAAATGTTGCTCTGTGACTATGAAGCTTTTCACCACTGGCCTCAAAAAATGACCTCACAAAAGCTATGTCTGAAAGGAATCGCCAACTATTATTAACGCAATGACAAGCTTTGGACTGTGTTCTGATTCTCAGTGGATTAATAGCTTTAAATTATTTTAATGATTTTTTCCCTTTTTTTAAAAAAAAGCACCAGATTTCTCTCCCCTTTATCAGCCAAAAATGATAGTATGTTCCCCTCTCTTCTCCCTTTGTCATCAAAAGTACAGAATCTAATAGTCTGGGAGATCCTAGCTGATTTACTCCAGATACTTATCATAAAAATAAAAATTGCAGTGCATTCATCAGCACTCTCCAGAGACTAGTAACGTATTGACTTCAAGTCCCCTATTAATGGCTTCCCCGGACAGAATGTCAAGAAATTCATTGTGAGACGAGGACCATCTCCCGCTTCCTCCTCCCACACCAGAGGTCAGCTTGTTTGGGGCCAGTGGCTAGAGTACGAATCTAGCCAAACAAGCCATTGTCTCTGGATGAGAGGACAGATTGGCTGTTCGGGCTTCCAAGCTGCCCCACGAAGGGCAGGCTTTGTGATGGCAGGTTCAGGACTCTATTCCCTGCATTAGAGAGACTTCTCAATCCAGGCCTCCTTCAGCATGTCACTTCCATAGCCCGGGAATCGGGGGAGATTGTACTAAGGGGAGAGAATGTCCCACGGGGTGTTCAGGAGCCCAGTTTATTCCGTGACTCCAGGTAACCCACAAAAGTCATAGCTGGAGCCCTGTTGATCAGGGGACATATTGCCAGGACCAAGAGAGTCCCCCATCCATCTTCACTGGAGTCGGGCTCAGCTAAATCTGAAAAAAACTCTTAAGGCCAGAAGTAAGGTCAAGTCATATTCCAGAAGCTAGATGATAGACAGTTAATACCCGCTAGCCTTGAGCTGGGGGGCAGAGACCAATTAAAAGAGATTTCAGGTTTTACTTAAGAGGACGGTTGGGCTGGGAAACGGGATGTCAGCCGAGGAAGAACGGGGCTGCAGGTCTCAGATCTAGGGCTTGCGTAGAGGAGGACACAGCAGCTGGAGGTGCCAGTGAACGGAAGCATCGCTCTGATTCTAGGCTGTTTTCCCTCCAGCCACTTTGTACTGCATTCTCAGTCCGAGAGTTTCAACAGGAGACTTTTATGCTAGAGCCGCGGC